TTATCCCGTAAATACTAGAAAATAGTTCCATACCAGCATGATCATCATCATTATCATCATCAATAATAAGACATTAATTAGAAAGGAAAGTACAACGCTACATCGATTTGCATCTTCTTCAAATTGAAAAGTCAAAATATTTTGCTAGAATATTCTATATTAGCGGTTTTGTTTCAAAACGAGATTTAACAAAAGGTAGTTATTGTCAAATGCATCAAAACAAACTCAACAAAACGAAAACACTGACTAAGACAATTCACACAATGCTTGTGCTGTCAGATTTGACACATTAACTCTAATTTATGCAATATTCAGAAAATAACACATGACAAAACAAAAATGATTAAATGAGATCGATAGATTATGAAAGAATATTCAGCGTAGTTATCGAGAACAATTATGTGTATTTAGAAAGATTTTAATTAGACCCATATTTGATCGTAAGTAAAGTGTTTGTCAGAATTGACATCATGAGAAATTCAAGGTAAGACAGGAAATTGCTTATGAAAGGAATGTAGAGATTGCAAGTATCAAATTAACATGGATTTTCTATTAATAGATATCGCTTTAAATTTCTTATGAATAATCTACAAAAAAGCTTTATTGATATCAATTGCATTTTTATCAGCTTGACGGTTAGTGCATGGACTGCACCTTTTTATATATTATATATTTAGCGCTCGAATGCCGAGGAGCAGGCCCGTAACGCTGCCATGTCAAGTGTTATCTCAAAATTAGTATATAAAAAAATGCAGTACGCAATAAATTATGTTAAAAAAACACGTGCCATAATCACGATAACTGTATTGGAACAGTACATAACTACAACATCAAATATCCACTTCAAGTGGTCAGCTCAATCATCATTATAGTCGCTAGCTTTACAGTACCTTTATACCATTCCTGAACAATATCAACAACTTATTGTCTGTAGCTGCGTAGAGATGGATATGTTTAACACACAAATTATAAAAATATTTAAATAATATTTGCGAGGTATGTTTCCCATTTGATCTTAAATAGAATTAACGTTTAAAACAACATCGTGGAGAAGGTAAGGATTTAATAATATAGAAGGTAACCAATTTTTAATACATGTAAAATGTATAAAATCTATAACAAATAAAGAACTAGATGTATCTCTTCTGTCCGGAAACTAAAAATAGGACTTTTTGCGTACTTATAAAACCAGAATGTATTTTGTATCTTACCAGTAGAGGTAAGAGGAATCTTGTCTGTTAAATTCTATTTTTGTATAGTTTAAAATCACGAAATGTTTTCTTTTATAGTTTGCTATGATAAGTAATACTAACAACTTTACTTTATACAAATGTGTTGTTTATAAAGAAAACAATCGAAATTTTAAAATCCCCAAAACAGATTCTACAGTTAGATATGATATATCGCATATTCATCTTACAAGTTTTTCGATTCCCCCAAAATAGCATATATTTGAAAATATATACTATTTTAGGGGTATTGGAAAACTAGCTTTGAGTTTATATTTATTCTTCTCTCGAAAATACTAATGTTTGTAGCAGACAGTACTAGTTCATTAGGATGAGATATTCAGCTGTAATAATTTAATTTTGCTTTAAACAAGTATTTTCATAGGCTTAAAAATTTATGTTATCGGCCCATAACGTAAAGAAATGACGTCGCCGTTTGTAACGTCGCTTTTGATTGGCTGGTACAGCAGCGCAATAATTTCTAAGAGAAAAGAGTCCATCAATAAAAGTCGATTTCCACAGGGATTGTGTATAGTAGATTAAATTATAAGGATTAACTTGAATATATTTTTCATGTTATGGAGCTATAACACAAAAAAACGGAGTGTACTCTCATCATAAACCGCTTCGCAAGAATATTATGATGAAATTTACAGTGTAATAACTACTTAATTATGGTTGTATCTAAGGCTAATGAACATACATGCTATCCTATGTAATACTGACAGGCCGATATAATCTTAAGGACTTTACATGAATCTCATCAGACTTGATATGGACCGGAAAGGAAGTCTTTTATCAGAAAGGCACATGCAAGTGTCCAACCTTGAAATTCCATTGGACTGACTACATGTATATGTACTTGTCTAACAGATCAAGATGCCATCCATATCGAATGCAAAGATCTCGCTATTTTCCCCATTATCGGTCATTCGTCACCATCTCATTAGCTCCGCCTTTACTCTTCCACCATTGGTTGATCGATGTAGACATATCGAGTACGCATTACCATGTAAATGTGTGTATTCTCCCCAAAGCTGTAAAACAAAACCACTTCGAGATTTCAACTCTCGTATTAAAAAAGCATCTAAAGTAATTTTTAAATCAATATCTAAAACGTATAAAAGTTGGTGTTTTTTTTATTACTTTGAAAAGTTTATCTTGATTTTTTTCTAAAATGGAATTCGACGCTAGCTATATAAATTCAATCTTAACCAGTGTGATTGTTACATCGTATCACACTGATTATCATGAGAGAAATCTAATGCTCCCATCTGTAACCATGATTTCTATGTCAAAAAGCAAGCTTAACGCAGGCAAAAACTGTGGTTATAGGAAGTGTTTAATGGAACAACCAGGTGATATGTGATATGCAAAAGAAACACTTTTTTAATGTACAATGTGGTCAATAACGTCAGAACACAACAGGGACAGAAATAAAAGGAAAGAGAACATGAACCCCTACAAAACTGGGGGAGAAACCAGATTATACAAGAGTAAAACTTATTATATGATGATGATGGTTATGTATTATATCGACAAAATTAGTATAAAATAATTGTGTTATTGTGTAAGGATATTGAATAATCAAAAAGGAAAAAATTAAATGCATAACATTTACCTTACTTGTTAGCACCCTACCTAGCATAATACTGTTCCGTAACAATGTCACGTGTAATTCACATGGAGATATAAGTAATCAGATACGTTCTAAGGTAGTGTATTTATGGATATTTATGTAAATAGGTAGATTCTTAATGTGTGATTGCGCACGTTCATCTTCAAATACAGCTCAAAACCTTTTATTATCACAGGTAACCATGCATATTGAATGCTTATTAATACAAATTAAGGTCTGTCAACATTGGAGAGCCCTTGGTTTGGTTGAGCCTCCCAAATAAGTTGGTGTCCCCATATACGAGTGATATTATACAACGCTCACTTTTCCAATATTTATTTATTTGTATCTTTTCGTGTCCATTGCTCTATTTTTTATCATTATTTTTAGCGTGAATTTCCCCAAAAGATACACTTGTCTTTTATAGCTCTCATTTTGTGATATAACTTTAACATAAAAACATCGCTGTAATATGTACAATGAATGATTTGTAAGTTTTTCTTTTTCTATTTTTCACAATTTTCATTTATGTTTTGCCAAATATATCACTTAAGCAAAATGCCATTTTAGCTCACCTAGCACCAAGTACCTGTAAGCTTTTATTATGGTGTTGCGTTCGTTTGTCTATCGTCAGTCCGTCTTGAAAATTGAAAGACCAATGATCATGATATTTGGCCAGTAGGTACAAGGTATGGAATGGTTGAAAGATTCATGTGAGCCAGGTGAGGGATACAGTCCCTCTGTGCCTCTTCTGGTGTTATTACCTTCTTCTGAGGAACTGTGTTATCGCGGTATTACTAGGCTCAAATATACACTAGATATGATGCCGAGGAAGTATTTAAGAGAATGTAAATGCAAAAATGAAGTGTCATATTTTTTGCCAATCGTATTGATTTTGCAAAGTTGTTATTTCTGTTACCTGCTCTTTTTTTAAACGTAGAGTTTGCTTCAATGACGTCGTTTTTCTACTTCATTAGAGAACTAATATTACAATATAACACCAACCTAGGAATGGTCTACCGACTCTAAACAGCAAAATATAGTACTTTGCTGCCAAAAAGTCACAAAGGCGTCAAATGATTACTGTATTAAAAAGCACTTCTGCAATTAAAACCTTTATATAACGTTCCTCGTTTTATCAGCCAACTCGTTCGCCGCCAAGAGAATTAATGTCCTATTTTCTCTGGTTTAATGTCAACTCTTTAATACCGCTCCATCGATATATTGCATAACCCATTATTGACGGGAAAAGTTCTCTCGATAAAGATGACAGCATATCAAGATTATATCTATGTGTGGGAATGTTACATTGATAATTTGATGTACACAGTAATGTTTACATGGTTAACTATAATGTGTTTGGAAATGCTGTGCAATATCTTTCGCTGTGATGATCCATTGTCACATCATCTGTGCATAAGCAATCAATAGAATTAATCTGTCTACCATACCGGGTCTGCCTTGACTATGGTGTCATTGTCGTTGACATCTTCTGCGTACAGTTAGGGTTGTGTTATACTGACTGAAATCAATCGGAATATTATTATATATATTGCATATGTACTGTCCTGATTCTGAGTTGTGTTGACCACAACGGTAGACCAGATTTACGATATTGAATACTCGATGACGCGACAAACTCTAAACATCGTTAATTCTTTTAAGATCTATAATTCCTCCACACACACATCTTATTACATATTTATTGATATTTGGGTACTGATTTAATTGTATTTGTTTTAATTAGGTTCGTCAGTAGTGAGATTATATCCAGATCTTCATAGTTCACAGGATCTGTATATTGTCAATCCAACTTCAAGGTTTTCTAAACTCGTTCATAATGAATTGTGTGACTGAAAGAGCTCTATAAACTTCATTATCATTGTTGATACAATGTTAAGTGCTTTTCTCTATGTTAATTATTTAAATTAAGCAGTGTTCTGCAATTCATTCCATTCGTCTTATCTGGTTCCCATGTTTTACATATAAACATCTTAGTGAGTGTTGAATTAATATTAACTTTATGATACGGATAGATGTTATTTCTTGTTCTTCAAGCTTGCTATGCTGTTATGGTTAGCGGTGTGTTCAATACTGTTCTTGGCCGCGGCATCATTGGTGCGCGGCGCTTTCAGCATCATCAACATTCATTATCTGTTTAACGTGGGGGACTGCTAGTTATCACCCAAGAACTATAGCTATAAGTAGCGGTCATCGATATCGGATGGATTTACAACTGACCAGTGGCTGTGTGTGGTCAGCGCTGTCGAAACTCTCGTTGTAGGTACGTACAACCTCTTTATTTTTTCTATATCTTGCTCTGCATTTTTACTATCATGGAACTAAAACAACGAAGAGATCGTTTTGTATTTGCTTTCTTTATATTCGATTATTTTATTTCATGTTGTTGTTTTATTGCATTGGTATTTTCTTTTACGAACATAAAAAAGGTGCATACATTTTATACAAAGCAGTCTAAATACATAGCAAGAAGGTGATATTCAGTTGTGCCGGGTTTTTTTTTTTTTTTTTTTTTTTTTTTACAAAACCCCAATGACAGGCCAAAATATTCTTTGTCGACGTCTGTCCAATTAAACTTTAATGCGTTTCTGATGAAATTTTAAACTTGCATCACACTTCTACAGGTTTTAAGAAATACAAAGTTATGCATACCTAAATATCGCTAAGCTGTCAATTGTTGAGCGGACTGTAAATACATTTCTCATCCGAATCTGCAAATTAGTATTGTTAATGGACTGGAATTAATTGCTCAATTATTTATAAAACTAAACCGTTGAAGTATTCTCTAGGTGATAAGCATTTCTGATAAAAAAAAAAAATCAAATGGAAAAAAACAGTACGATAACTGTATCCTACAGGACAAATGCCTGAAATATTGCACGTATTTCTTTTGAAATTCAAATCTGACGCTGAATAGAGGCTAATTAATGATGCTAAATATGTCGATGATGTGAGACAGCTAGGATCATTTTACAGCGGATACATTCCTAATCACAGTTATAAGAAAGCAATCCTACGATTTTTTTGGTTATCTTATCTAAGGTTTAGGTTAACCAACATTGCCGCGAACATGATGAACCAGCCGACAATGTGTCATATTCCTTCTCCAAATTAATTTAAGTGTAACGTATTTTTGCATTAGACGCTACAAGTTCTAGGTGTCATTAAATTCTATGGTTTACGAACCAGGGTGTTATTGCTCTAGTTATTACTAATTTCAGGTATTATAAGTCCCAGGTTAAACTTGTTCTAGGCATGACTTATTCTGGATTTGGGTGTTATTTGGGTGTTTTAGGTGTTATTTGGATGTTTTTGGTGTGTTATTTGGGTGTTTTATGTGTTATTTGGATCTTTTTGGTGTTATTTGGATGTTTTGGTGTTATTTGGGTGTTTTTGGGGTGTTATTTGGGTGTTTTAGGTGTTATTTGAATGTTTTGGTGTTATTTGGGTGTTATTTGGGAGTTATTAAGGTGTTATTTGTGTGTTATTCAAATATATTCGTTTCTGATTCTGTATATTACCCTTTTTCCAAGCGTTACCAATTTTAAGTGTTAATATTCTAGATGAAACTAATACTAGGTGTTACTTACTTTTGGTGTTACTAATTCAACTATGTCACTATTTCTATATGTTACTAATTCTTGGTTTAACTAATTTCATTCTGTCACTATTACTATGTGTTATTTATGCCAGTCGATGTTAATTAAAGACGTTACTAAGTATAGGTGTTTAAAGAGAAAGGTGTTGCTAATTCTAGGTTTTACTAATCCCATGTGTTACTTAATCTAGGTGTTCCTTATTTCTGACGTGAACGGTTTAAGATGTTTCTAATTGTTTATCATAAATGTTACTAAAACTAGTGTTATTAACTCCATGTGCTACTTGTTCTGGGTGTTGCTATGCAATACTTATTGAAGGCATGACTACTAGATCTGGGGGGTTTTAGTTCTAGGGGGTACTTATTTTAGGCACTTCCAAATCTTAAAAATACGACGCGTTATCAGAATGTATGTGGTTTTACACTATTCAAACGATGTTAATGCAAAAATCGATATCTGCTGCACCTGTTATTATCATATTAGAAAGCACAGGAAATTCGTTCTTAAACGAATTCTTGAAATAAAAAGAAAATAAAAAAAGGTTTTAATTTGTATTTGCTGTTCAAATATAAAATAGCATGGTATGTTAAAATTTCTACGTTTGAAATGACATGGAAATACTAAATGTTGTTTATATTTTAATGTTTCTGATATCAGGAACTTCGGATTCCTCAAAGTGAATGACCGTATTTGGAGCCACTTCCGGTGACGCGATACACCAGTCACGCATACCGTAGCGAGGATAGTTCGATCAGCACGTCACAAATATTAAAAAACGCCATCGCCTATAAAACCGATTGAAGTGTGAAGTTCCCCACTCGTCTCCCGTATCCGCCAGTATCAACCACATCAGAACCACAGGAAGAGATACTAGCTTTACATATCTATCGTATACATCTATCTAGTTTCACAGCAGTACTTTAACAAGCTTCTCAACATGTCTCCGATGTTGCTACTGGTTCAGCTTTTCTTCGTGTTGCCCTGTTTAGCAGGTAAGTTCAAATATTTTTTTACTCATTCATATTTAATTGTATTTTTTGATATATATATCGCTAATCAAAACTTGCCGTTGTTTGTCGAATAGAAAAAGAAAGTGGAACATTTGCATTTCTTTTTTCAAATAATAAAAAGAAATGTTCTTGCTCTCTGTTTTCATTTCTACCTTGTGTTTAATGGTAGGTCTGAATACGTGGCTTTCTGAAAAGTATGTAATTCAAAAGTTCACCGAATGCTATCGCCAAATTGTCTTTTACATAACTTGCATCTGCACAATATTTAAAAAAAAACACATTTTCTGTTATCGCTACCATGGGGATACAACAACATAGTTGTAGTATTACATGTTCAGAAATATAATGGTTTTCCGAAGAAAACATGCCGTGATTGAATGTTTTATTATAATAATGACGAATGGCTTATATTTTTAAGGACAAGATTTCTATAATCCATTAACTATTCTCATTCGTCAAATATTTTTTGTCTGGAAGGACGGGTTTTATTTCAGTTACTGATTTGTTTTGAGGTTATTGATATTTTATACTGGAGGTAACCGAATTAAGAACGGCTCAACAAATCTCTGTACGGTACCTTGACGAACATCAATTACCATTGCAAAACAGGCGCTATCAGTATGGTTCGGTTAATGAAACAAACCCATTGACTACATCGATTTGTTAATTATTAAGGACAACAAGTAATAATTTGTTGATGCAACAATTCTACTGTGCTTTGTTCAAAAGAATTGCTAAGTTTTTTTTCAAAACCTGTAACATTAATTGAACTCTTAATCTCATTAAACATTCCGTGCAAAATAAAAAGTAAAAACACGCAAAAAAGATTTAAGAATGGGAAAAAGTAATTAGTCATCAACTACGGTTATTCTTCATCAGTTATAATTTGAAGAAATGGCTTGGACTTCCTGACAACCAAAAACCAGAAAAAGAATTTGAAATGTACGAGAATGATAAACAGCTACTATAAAGACTATTAATATGAATTATGATTCGTGAGTTTCCCCAAATTAAAACGGCAGCTGCACTCATGGATTTTGAAAAAATCATTTTGCATTGAAAGAAATGATAATGAAAGCAAATGATACGACTTTTATACCCACGTGATTAAAACAATTGCCCGTAAATTATTAACGTTTTGTTGCACTAATGTAGATATTTCGATATAGTTCTTTGAAAATGACTTTATATTATATGATTGTACATACAATATTTATCGTCTATGATGTGAGAAGGATAGAGAGATTTCATAGTTCAGTAACAAACGTTTTTTTCTGGACGTGAACTTATATAGCAAAACTCAAAATTCTATGAGTCGCTTTACATTTATGCAGTCGTATTGTGTTATAAAACAGTACATATGACAAACCCTTTAAGCACATATAAATATACCGCTACCGATCTTATTTCTGTGAATCATGTTTTGGCAATGCAAGATATTCTGCCATTGACGAATTTTGCTTTGGTGCTATTTTCGTAACAGTCCAAACAAACCTTTAGCGTTGCCCATGATTTATTGATAAAAGGAACTGGCTTGGAAATGTCTGTAATAGGACTACCGACAAGATGATATATCCACTGATAATAGTATGCATTCAGTAAATCGTATTTTTCTTATACGTTCCAATAATGTTGTGTTTTAATCTATTGATTTTACATGAGATTGATTTTGGTTTTGTTTTTGATGGTATTTTGATTTTTATAACATGAAATTAGACTAATCATTTGCACAATCAATATTTCTCACTTGAATACTAATGACTTTTCGCTGTTTCTTGGGTATGAGGGTAAACATCGGGGGCGTATTTGTAAATCCTTTAGTTTTATGACGTCACATTAATCCATAAATATAGTTTTCGTTAGTTATTGTAATGGAATCCATTGTTGATTTGGAATATTAAGTTTACTGATTAATGAGTTTGTTCACCATTAACCTTACCATGTAGGAAAATTATCACAACAGACGACGATTGAATTTAATCATTTTGTTTTCTAATGCCATCCCTAGAAATCTTATGACGTATTCCATACCTCATACAATTGCTTGATGCTTACTAGATAATTTAGTAATCTAATTAGTCAATACATGTACAGGATAACATAATAAGATTATGGTGACACATACAGGTCATTTTTCACTCAGACCAGTATATATCTGCAATGTTGATTTTCTATTTTTGTTGTTATAGCATACAGATTGAACATCTATATGAATTATTCCAAACATGACCACTTGTTATGTCAATAACCTGTATGTAGTTATTTAGTTTTTCAATACCTATTTAGTAATATGGATCATTTGCAATATGGTACCAATGAGATATATAATATGCCTGGATTGCTGAATTAGCATGGAGTGGAAAAAAATGAAGACCAGTTACGTAAAACATTCATCCATGGATAAAGCAAATACAATCTTTCGTGATCGATACTGCTTTCAACCTGACAATACTTTTAAATGATCATAGAAGCAGCTGTGTGATTCCCTAGGCAATGGTCAGCCATCATTATTGGCTTCATTAATTATTCTGATTGCAAACAGAATATGACGTATATCTGGTCACCGAGGGCTCACACACAACCTTGACCAATGCTGGACATGTAATAGGAACATTTGAATGTTTATTGACGGCGTTGCAGTCCTGATCGAGAAATGATTGCCTGAGCTATATCGAGTCATCTGTCGAGACGGTTTTAATAATGTAGAAGCAGCCCCTAACCGACCCTATCAATATCATGGCTTCTTCTCATAGACTTTGTTAGGTTTCTTGTTATGTATAACGCGTACTTCATAATACCTTTTTTAGCATTGTTATATGACCTATTTTGCATTGGTATGTTACATCTCTTTTAGGGTTTTGTTATATTTTTTACTTTGTTATATAGCTTTGCATTCCTATGTGAACCCGGACTTTATAGCATCCTTTGCATTGTGTTAAGACTTATTTTCCGTTTATATTTGATATTTTATACCGGTTACGCATTATTTGACCTCTCCGAACAGGAGCTTTTTGGATCAAAAAGGTCGTGATAGAATGATGTAATTATGAAGTTGTGCCGTTACAAAGGACAGAAATTGGACAACTTTATATGATCCTTAGAAATGTTACCTGAATAACAAAATTTTAAGTTATCGCGAGGCAATTATAGTCGATACATATAAGCTGCCTTTTTTCACATGCAGATTTACTTTAGATGGAGTTGTATACTACATATGTTCAACTTTTGATATATCCATTATCTGTCAATTTTTTAAATATCTTTTATTTTGTAAATTTAAGATTAGTAAGTTATGATTCTTATCAACACAATCTGCCTTACATGCAGGTTTAATATGTTGTCATTCATAAATAAATTAAATCCTCTTTGGTATCTTTATTGGGTTATCTGCATTTTTTCTTGAAATAGTTACCTGTAAACTACAATATGGTTTTATTGTGTTCATCGTCTTTATGGTCTGATTGTGTTGCAAATAAAATTACCCAAGCGTTACCTTAAAATTCCATATTCGAAAATATTGACGTTTAAATGCTGCCTTTAAAGACTGAATTGTATACGTTAAAGCTACATAAATTCAATACTATTTGATTGAATCACCGTTTGGTCTCTGTGCGTCTTAATAATTAAAATAATGAAGAAAGCACATTTTCCGATATATTTTTCAGTTTGCCTCGGATTTCCTACGATATTTCTTCTCACACGCAAGAGGTTAAGAAATATAGATTTAATATAGATTTTACAGTCCTTGAAATTATAATTTAATTGTTATTATTTATTACAAAATATACAAAGATACATTTAATGAACGTTTTATCTCTTTGTTGATCAATCAGTCTTGAATAACTTATTTACAGTATAATTGTACTAAGTGAAATATTGCCAGCAGTTCATGTTTCCTCTTAAGGTACAAATAATTAACAAAGAACAATTTATCGGTATTTCATGAACATGAGACCCATTTTAATTAGGGATATCAATATACAGATTTCGCAATTATAGGAGTGAGATAATATGTCCCCGGACAAAACTTTACTGACTGAAAAACAGTAGTCCGCTCTGGAATAACCTGCGGGAAACTAATACAAATAATTAATTAATAGACAATAATATATTTATATTTTGGGTTGTTTTCTGCTTCGAGGAATGACAATTAAGAACATTCTACTTTCTGCTAGACTCTTTGTAACTGTATCCGGCCTTTATTAACGGTATTGACTTCCTGTTATGATATAGGACTTGATGGATGGACATTCCCCAATTACTCGAGGTAAATGAAGGTGTCCATCATCAGCTATACTTAATAATAACAACAGTTTTTTCTATTTCCGGTAGTTAAATATAGCACTCTGTTCAAAGTGCGCATTCTTCAATGGTGTTTGAATTCCATTTATGTAGGAACAACATAAGATGATAAGTGCAACTTTCATAAAATTTCTATCGTTGAAATTTCATTAGCTAAGCTGAACGCCACAATAGTGGTGCTTTAAACGTGTGAAATAAAAGCAAAATGCATGTTTTAGCAAAAAGAACAATAAGGCAGGGAACTGTATTGGGTCATTATGGCAACAATTTAAGATCTATATAGCGGACGATCTGAAAAATGTATGTTTTTATTCTATATATATAGATATATATTTGTCTTATTTGTTATTCAGGCTTGTTTAATCTTAGTACAAATAAGCTTTAATAACGTGCATACTATAACAGTATTACGGAAACAGCATTTGATGAATAGAACATTCACTTCAGCTTTTTTAATATATATACATATATATATTTGTATAAAATATGTCTTATGGCAAATGCTGAGGGAATTTTATAAATACTAGACTGATAGGTTGCTCTTTTGATTAAGAGAAAGAAATTCGTCTTTATATAATTAAAAAACGGTAATACACGATTTGCACTACATGTTATCAGATTTAGTTTAAATGAGGTAGGCTCTAAAAATGTACTTGCATCTTGTCTCTACTTTAATTAATTTATACATGATATTATTAAGTAATACTTGTATGAAAATAAAGTATTAAAGATTAAAAATCTAGAATAACATTCCCCTAAGTTTATATTCCTTGAGTAAAACAAACATTTCCAAATTTTTCAATGAAGTTCTGACTGTATCACATTTATTGACCTTGTAATATTAGCAAATTGCGCTGATGATGGAAAATTTGGATACCTGTCGGTGAAGTCATTGATCTAAGGGTTGACTAACTCGTCCTCGGAGTTTCACGGGGTTTTATGAATGAAATTCCTCGTCTATAGTTCGTTAAGTAGCAATTTGTAGGCGGTATGTTGTTGATAAGTTTAGAACACAGATAAGCACCATTCCACAGGAGCCACACTTGATTCAAGAAAGTGTCTAGTTAGCTTTATATTTAAATTGAAATTTTAACACGATAAATAAATAATCTATTATGTTTGGTGTATACAATTCTTGTTATTGAACGATTTCAATTCTAAATGACGTTTATCTTCATTCAGTATAACGATAACATTTTGATTTTTATACTTTGACACTGATTAAGGACAATGTCAGTTAAGCTGCCAATGCTTGGTGAATACAGTTCTGGCATGTATTAGCTCCCTAGCATGTGGTGAACACCATGGAAGAATGCTAGAAATACAAGAGCTAGACCTGATATAGATTGATAACACTATGTGGTGGCCACCGTAAATAGCCAAAACATTTATTTTTAGTAGACTGCAACGAACCAACGATCGGTAAATGAGTATTTTCATGCCGATTTTAATCAAATTTATCAGAAATATTACGACCCATTACAAAGATGAGATATTACTTGATATATCTTATAATTTACTGGAATGTTGCTTCGGACTACGTATCATGTGGAAATTTTGTTCTTAATTTTATCGAATTTCTATTCGGTTTGCAGGTTTCTTTAGAATGTCCTATGACCTTTACAATAAGCTGCATCATTTCCTTTTTTCATATTATACCGTAAGAGTACTAATTTTTAGCGTATTAACGAATTTAAATAGTTTAGCGCATTGATGTATTACCCCATCCACAAGACATGCAATAAAAAACTAAATACAGAAATTTCAATAAGTGCGGTAATAACTTAGCGCAATATGTTAAGCGCCAGCGAGCTCAAATTTAATAAGAATTCTAAAAATTGTACGTATGTATTGTACTGCAGTTAATAATAACAGAAATCACAAGAATGTATCGTTATGGATGGACTTTAACAATGTTCCAATCTGTAATTCAGTCACACATGTCTTGACTGCCGGTATTTTTATCAAACAGACATAGTGTTCATTCTAAAACAATTTTATCAGGCGACAATCGAAACCGTTGAAATTCTTTCTTAATTCGTAAGATTGGATCCAATAAATTTGATTAAGCCCGAGAAATGCATGCAGGCTCTCAAAGCTCTAGGTTCACGCGCTCAGACATTCCTTCTCTTCACAAATACCTAGTTACTAATTAACGATAATCAGCCAACACCAAGCTTCAGTATGTTTTAGATTTGGATATTTTTTGGAAAGTTTAAGAGCAGTGTATGGCGCCTGTTTTTCTATTTTTAACACTGATAATCAGTGCAATGTACACGTTTGCGTAAAAATATTGTTTTATTCCACGTCATATCCGGTTATACTATACCGCTTCACCTTTTTCACGCTCTGAAGATAAAGTTATATATACTTTCAGAACGCTTTATTTATAGATGCTATCGAATTAATGTACTAAGGAGATTACTTGGCGCGTTTACATTATATAGACAATGTTCCAAAAACAGGAAAGAAAAAATGTTTTGGGGATTACATTTTTACTCAAAAAGAATTTAACATAGATAGCTATCGAAAAATAATGTGATGAAAAAAGAAATAAAAAGAAATAACGCAAGTCTCTTTTTGTAACCTGAAAAATGTCTAAAATAATACAGAATGGAAACATAAGTCGAAGAGAAACAGGTTGTGTTCTTCACATCTCTCAGATCTTCTCTGTCGAAAACAGACTTCAAAATCTGTTCTATCCCAGTTCTTTAAATAAATCGCTAAAAGCGGGCAGTTTGTAGTGAATAAGATATATCAGTGCGTTTTCTCTTTCATGCGTATAAAAAGGATCACACGTACATTATATACATGTACCTCTATATCTTCTCGACTAACTGTTTATTGAACCTTTGAAGTAAGCAGCAGGAAATATAATAATTGCTAGACAAAATAAAGGATCATAGGTAATCACCATCGGTGCTGGCTTCGTTACCATTTGTGTAAGACTCTTCAGGCTTCTGTTCCAATAAAATAAAATAATAAAAAATGTCTAAACAGGCATTGTTATCTTCATTGAGCTGTTCTCATAGGCAGATTGAAATCTTGTTAACTGGTTTTGTGGATTTTTCACGGTATAGTGATGTGTCTATTGTCCATAATACAGCCAATGCCGTTGACTTCCCGATGGAGCTTTGTCCCTACCTGGCTGGCGAGTGTAGGGAGGAGTGTGCCTTTAAGTTTGTCCACAAGTGGGGAATTCCTCTATGCGCTACCGAAGGCTTCCACTGCTGTGCCCCGGATTATCTAGGTAAGTTATGAATAATTTGGAGGACATTAAAAACTTTTCCGTTATGGGGACCTCTCAACATAAGTCGCGTCATAAGTTCTCGACAACTTGAAGACACCAAAATACAATTTACTTCTACATTGTACAGGGACAAAAGCCCGATATCCCTACAATAATCCCTCCAAAACCTTCCAGTTCTGCAGGAACGATAAACCAGTATTTCCATTCCACTGAATTCTACAGGCCGAAATCAAAAGGGTATATCGCCTTAAACTTACAGGGCCAACACGTGAAGCTTAAAAGTGCAATGCCTACAGAGAGACGATGAACTAGGTTCGGAAGATTTGAAATAGACGTGTATTGTATACTGATGTTCGGTGTTAGGGATGTGGGATTTCCTAACTGTACAGTACAAACACATCCGGGCAGGTGTGCTACCCCCAACGTATATTATCCTTATTTAGAACCGTTTACGTATAGGTTCTTTATGATGTGTTCAGAAAAGGAGTGATCCAGGAGTTAGGCTAAGAATACTCCCTGTAACCTGCATGACTACATTAATAGCATGGCTGACGTCGACTGAGAGTTAAAGAAATGTGTGAAAAAAGCTCGTGATATATTCCGTCACTATTGCGACTTCATCATAGAGAAGTATCTCACGTGGAGCCGTGTAATTTCCTCCACGGAAACATAGATCTATGATAAGGATATATTGGGATATATTCACAACGAAAGACAGACTTGTCCAGTATCTAGGGCATCTTCCATTATGATTCGTAGTCTCCCACAAACCACAGACAACCACCTAACGGCATATTTAATGGAATTTCCATATATGTATTTATAAAAAAGTATACTTATTTTCTGCGCCATTATGTATTTAATTGACCGAAGTTTGATATTCATATAATACTTCGGATTTCCAGATACGGCATAAAATACGAAAAGTTTGACGTAATACATGTGTATATATGTTAACCAAGTGGGATTTAATGTTTCATGAACCAGGTGTTAATTAATCGATTAATTTTGTATCATTACTGACGTATTACCTATTCCTAGTAATCGAGTGCTAATTTGAGACATTAGATATAATTTCGTGTTCCGGACATAGACATTTAACAGTAGAAGCAGGTTTCCTCTATAAACGGGAAAACATAAATTTCTAATTAATTCAGTAGACTGTAACACGAGGTGCGTATGACGTCATATATTAACTTATTCCAACGTGACACACTCGTTTATAGCTACTGTGTCTGTTTAAGTTACTGTAAAAGAAGAATATTTTACGGTATGGAAATGCTAGGGTTTTCGGGTTGAGTATATAGGACCGAAAATAAACATACACGAATAACTTCTATAAAATTATTCAGTTTATATATGTATAGAATACTCAGATTTTATAACTATTGCCTCTTTTAACAGGAACCTGAATAAACCTTTAACATAAATGACTCAGTTAGTGGCAATTAAAATGGGTCCGCTGTAACAGTTTATGAAGATGTATTACAGGTGTTATATACAGGATATTAATTTTAATTGTTTACCGTTGAATACCATATGTATTTCACGAGTATGGCAGAATATCAATAGTGTATTCGAAATATGATTTTTTAATAAATCGATAATTTCTTATATTTCACCGGTGAAAAAGTAATAATTATTTCTATATTTGCAGTAAAACAAATGGAACAATCAAAGAAAACAACGACAACAGAACCACCATCAACTACCACAAGTCCTACTAGTACAACAACCACCACAACCCCTGCTCCGACTACAACCACCACAACCCCTGCTCTGACTACAACCACCACAACCCCTGCTCCGACTACAACCACCACAACCACCACTACAACGAGTCCGAGTACCACCACCGTCAAAATGGAGGACGTCGTGATCACTTCGACCTCAATGCCAGAACAGAAACTACCCGACCTTCCTCAGGATAATCTCCCCCTTGCCCCTGAACTACCTCTAGACGAGGGCCGTACTGAACAGGACCTGCCCTTTGTGAACGAAGAACTTCCTATGGGTGATCAGCCACAGGACCCTGATTATGAATTTCCAAATGCTATCAACACAGGTTGGTATTTATTGATCATTATATATCAGTTTTAATAGCATGGAATCAAAAATTAAGTGTTGGCTTTTTTAATACTCAAATCATAGCGTGTTTGACTAAAAATAATAAAACAATTGTATTCTGGACTTGTGAGTAGAAATTCCGGAAATGGCGCGTTCTTGATTTGCAATATTTAAGATCATTTTGAATTAAGATGTCAGGAAGTTCATTTAAGAGTCATTATGACACTTTCTCGACATCTCAACGATTCTATGTAATGTATTTATCATATCTCTCTGGGCAGGGTTGGACTGTGGACTACCATTTTTCAATCAAAGAGTAAAGAGAATAATAGGCGGAAGTGTCTCCAAGCGAGGGGCGTGGCCCTGGCAAGTCGCCTTCCGGTATATGAATGGCGCCTATCTTTGTGGTGGCGCCCTTATTAATGATCATTGGATTGTCACCGCCGCTCACTGTTTTAAACGGTAAGGATATAGCATGGCTTTATTTTCAGTATCTGGTCTATAGAGCTAATTTGGATTTCAATAATTGTGCAATTAATCTAAAGCTTTTAATTGATGCTAAGTAGTGTTAATCATTAAATTTTCGCAAACATTTTTTAATTTGATTAATGCTTGTGTCCAATAGTCTTAGTAGAAATGGTTTTATTTCCTTATTTTTTTTTTTTTCAATGTGTTTGGATAATTTTGAATATCTACATTTATACATCTTGAAAAACAAATATGATGTTGATATTTCATTTCTTTGTGCAGTCATTCCGACTGTTTTAAAATATCTTCTGAACTATGTTATACAGACAATTCAATGCGGTCTCACATTGGAGGGTGAGCGTTGGAGTCCACGACATCACCGGGAGGGACCAGCACAGGAGGGACATCTCAATTAAACAAATTATCAAGGTGTGTATGCATTCCAATATATACGTATAATTACAGTGTGATAGAGGCATCCTCAAAGGATGAAGAAACTCTAACAATTCTTATTCTTTCTCACCCAAATGATTGGTCTCACTTGATGGGCGAGATCAGTCACATGTCCACATGTTTACTTCATGGTCAGATATATTGATTATTTGTGCTGGAAAAGCGAGAATCTCAAGGACTTCTTTCATAATTTTTCTATTGTAAAGGTCTTTGAATTCAAATCTCCACAAATTTCTCTCTGATAAGTTCATGTCTTGATATTTACAGTGTGTCCACATTGAGGCAATAACGTTGAAAGGTCTACCATATGCTTTGACATTTACCTAAAGTATAATAGAACTGGTCATCTTTCCTTTTCACCTATTGCCATCATCTTACTACCAATATTTACAAGTTTTTACGACAGTTTCACAGTATTGGTCACATTATAATCAACTTATTGACATTTACCTTCAGCATAATTATAAGGTCATCTTAGTTCCAACCTCAATGGCATGAGATAATGTTTTCCTCGATATAGAACTCCAGGATATTAACTGACTTTTTCTCAATATCAATCACATTACTACTCCTTGATTAAACTTTCTATAAGACCAGAAGGGTCACCTTGCTTCAAAGCTCTGATACTTACTGATAAAATCTTATTAAAGTCATCTTATTGCCAAACTCCATGACATTTACGTACTGCATGATACTTATAATCACATCACTAACAATCTTTATGGCAAACGGGATGACTTTGATTTCAAAATAATCACCATTGGAGAGTTCCCTTTTCACAGCAGTTATATCCGAACCTCCATGGCTAATAAGGTCTATATCTCAGATATAATCCATTTCACCAAAACCTGGTATAAGTATCCGTATTTCCTTGATACAGACGTTTGGTTGATTAAAACACTATTTATCTCGGGTTTTCTACTCGAGACGCTAACTACACTGTTTAAATGTTTAAATTGTCCACTAACCTTTCATAACGCCGAAAAAGTATTAGTTGTGCTCTGTTCTGTAGCCTTCCCAAAAAAAAAACATTTTTAATGTGATATGTGATGTATTTGACAAAAGAGTAGGTGAGACGATAAAACAAAATTCTGAAAACTTTTTGTGCTATAAACAATTAAAATGTAAATGTTTCCTTTGGTAAAGAAAGACCAAAGAATATTTTAATAGGGCTTTCAGATTGATATTTATTAACAAATCATTGTCTTTCAGCATCCCTACTACCAGAAGGATTCTGAGGGCTTGACCCTTAACAAAACCCTCCCTACCCATCACCACTACCGTCACGACATCGCCTTGGTTGAGTTGTCTGAAGCAGTAGATATGAACTCGCCATATACACGACCTATCTGTCTCCCCACCCACGGGGACCCACGTTTCCCCTCAGCCAACGCTATCAGTAAACGTCGGGAGGAGGAAGAGTTAGAACGAGAAACAGAGGAGGAACTGATCAGGGAGGAAGCATTGAGGGAGGGCTTTCCGGAACTTTCTGAATACATGTGGAGGATCCGAAGGGACGCTGGATTTGACAATGTTGATGCTGATAACCACATTAGTCTTTATGACGTAGAACGATTCGGGGAATGTTACGTCACAGGATGGGGAGAGACTAGAGGTAAATAAAAGCATCATCGATGTATATGTTAGCGATTAGAAAGGTTTCAGTCCAGATTATATGCACTTACACAATTAACTCAAAGAAGTTTACATATAACAAGAGCAAAAAATCTCAAGACAAAAGGAAATAAATAAATCAAAAGCGAAGTCAAATTAAATTTAAAAACAAAAAACTACACAATATATATGAATTAGTGAAGTTGTGGGAATTATATGGTATAATTTTGCACTTTATTAACAGCATACATTTTTAATGGTATTTTTCAGTCATCGCTATATAAGTTTTGATTAGGGACTGTTTCATTGCTGAGTCAGTAGATATAACAATTTGTCTGTTTTTAAACAATGGTAACCACGGGTTACAGGTACAGGGGAGGTGACAAAGTTACAACAGGTCAAAGGTCACGTAAGCAGTGCTGAAGAGTGCAGCAAGTCCTGGAAGAGAGAGATTGACAACGACATGGTCTGCTTTGGAGATGGAACAAAGGGGCCTTGCCTGGTGAGTGTAAACATTAAAACGGATAAATGATGATCCAGCGTCACATACGATGACGCAAACATCAGCGAATATGGGTTCGACGCCGATTTTTATGCTGATTAATTATATCTTTCCTTTAAGTTGGTGTCTCCTGTGTTCTTGTTGTTGACTTTTAACACAAATTCAGTTTTGATGTCATCACTGTATGTGATGCTATAGCCTATTTTGAGTCCAATGTAGTCGCTATGTGTTGAGTTGGAGTTATATATTGTCCATTTGTGTTGACGCTAGTCATTTTTTTTATTTTATATTTGATGGGATATTTTCCTGTGTGTTGATGTCATAGTCTATTTCGAATGTTAAGTTTAATTTTAAATGTTGTGTTGTATTTTTCGTTTTGATGTTTTTTCAAGTGTGCTGAGTTTGAACTTTGATATCGTTGTGCTTTGAGGCTTCAGTCTATTTTGAGGTTGGATGTTGCCCCTGTGTGCTAACATTATAGCTTATTTTCTATGTTATTTAATAATGTTGTAAAATCTAAGCAATATCACTGGCGCTTATTTAATCTTATCTCTGAAATTTGATTAAAAAGAAGTCTATTTTTTTAGATTAAAGATATATTTTGCATGAACGCGCATTGCTCTGCTTCACAAATGATCTTATCCTATAAATGAACCTAACATATCCCAACATTACAAAATGTTTACATTGTAATATTTTTCTCTATTTTCAGGGTGACTCTGGTAGTCCTATGTCTTGTAAATACGAAGGGAACTTCTACCTGGTTGGCGTGGTGTCATGGGGGTCAGATGAGTGCAACCGGAAGGGATATCCCAGTGTTCTCACGCGAGTGACGTCATACCACGATTGGATACGGGAGATTATCTCGGAGGGTTGAAACAATCTGACATTTTTCTCTGACAGTACACATCTGGGGCCAGTTCTTCTATAGTATAATTGACCAGTCACTTCAGACAAAAGTAAACAATATTACTTGCACCACATGTTATCTTTATTATCCGATATTCAGAATAATTGAAAGAGTTTGTGTAAATACATTCCAGTGTATTCCAGGGTCCATACTCGTATACGCGTATGTGTAAATATCACTTTTAACAGGGTAAAATTAATTATGTATTTGATACATATCTCGCTGTCTTTACCTTAAAGAAAACTAAAAGTAGACACATTGTATTAACAATATATTTCAAGCTTATTCGGTAAGAGGCATAATATATATATTCAGACATTGCTGTATAAAAGCGTATGAAAACATAAATTTAAGATGATGTTGTTTTATTGTTGAAATTGAATTTAAATAAAACTAAAAGTTTGACTTTTAATGTTCGTTAAACTTGTTTTATAAACATAGAATACCTTATACTACGGCGATACATTTGTATTCGGAATAGTTCTTTCACGAAGATATCCGAATGAACAAAATCGCTTTAACAATATGCAAATATGTCTATGTACTTTTCATGAATATGGAATTCGTAGTAAATGTTATCAAAATACAGTAGAAATGCAAAACCTGCATATCAGAAACAGCATACAATTGTAAATATGAATACCAGATGACGAAAAGTTGAAAATAAATAATAGACGTGAAATGAAGTAGCAGCATGAATTCGCAGTATTTACTATCACAAAGAGAACAAAAATGTAAAGTTGAACATCATTAACAGCTCATAAGTATCCAACTGACTACTGCAATTACTACAGAAGAATAATGTTGAATACCAGAAACACTACAGAAGCGTCAAGTTGAATATCAGAAACACAACTGGGGTGTAAAGCTGAATACCAGAAACACTACAGAAGCGTCAAGTTGAATATCAGAAACACAACTGGGGTGTAAAGTTGAATATCAGAAATATTACAGAAGCATAAAGTTGAACATCAGTTACAGCCTAAATTGTAAAGTTGAATATCATAAATATTACAGCGGCGTAAAGTGGAACACCAGTTACAGCCTAAATTGTAAAGTTAAATATAAGAAAAGGCACATAAATGTAGTAAAATACCAGAACCAACAACATTAAAATCAAATTTCATATATCTCAAGAAAAAGAAAAAAAGTATGAAGGTGAAGATACTTACAACGCAACAAAGGGGCGTAAAGATGAGTATGAGATACAGCATAGAAAAGTTAGAAAAAATGAAATAATAGTAACTTATTGATTATTGACTATCCTAAACAGCATATCAAGGTAAAGTTAAATAATAGTAACTTAATATGGAATTGATTATCCTAAACAGCATATCAAGGTAATGTTAAATATCAAAACCAGTACATGATATCAAAACATCAGAAATAGCAAAACCTGTAAGTTGAAGTTGAATATAAGAAATAACATGAGAGTGTAAAAATATCATAAACAGCATAGAACTGCATTTGAATATTATCAACTCTGAAATGTAAATTTGAATATCACAAGCAGCTCTTGAATATGAAATGGAATATCAGAACTGTGTAGATTTGTAAAGTTAAATATCAATAAAAATACAAACGACGGTATTTGAATGAATTTGTTTTAACATTTGGTTTGTTTATGGTTCATTAAATAAATTGTTACAGATCGCTGGCTTTGTTTGTGTTCCTTTTTTATTTTTTTACATTGAAGTACAAATCATATTTTTAGTTATATCGAACATTTCGTTACGTGATGGTGTAATTACAAAACTGATGCATAAAAAATACGTGATACTAATATCACAGTCCGCTCCAGCGCTAAAATCGGACATCATATTGTGACATGGCTGGATGTTTGTGCAATGGAGCGACAAAACACATAAAGTCACATTAGCTGTTCCATATTTCCGAGTTTACCTGAAATTCAATTTCTTGTTTGACGAACTTTGACAAAATAACCCTTACCTAGATCTCTTTTAACATGATATTCTGCGATGAATTTAGATGCAATTTATGAAATAGCTAGAGTAATATAACTTTTCCTTGGAATGATCTTTGGCAAGACTTTCTGAATTTTCAGATGAAAAACTTTAATAATTGACCGTCAACAATTTAAATTTAAAATGCTAAAATCGGTTTATCTAGGTATAAAAAGGGAGCGCACTCCTACGATTCAAACATTATTATCGCTATTGTTTTCCAGTCAAAATCTAAGAAAGCTCCTTGCATGACACATTACAATACCGTTTAGATGTTCTAGTAGCAGACAGACGTCTGACACATTCATAGATTATAAACAAGGAAAATATTCAGACAAATAATTCAAAACGAGTTTTGTTTGACTAGTTATGATTTATTTGGGACGACAATTACATAAACAACGTATTAAAATATATGTCAATATATAACAACAGAACAGCTAGAGAGTGTGGCGTTTTCTTTTTATTCTATCCGACTAAAGTTCATTGATAAATTAACAAAAGAACCGTTATTTTAAATCCTAAAAGTATATCGGAATGAATGTAACAGATATTACCATAACACACTCTAAAACAGGCATCCGAAAATCAAGATCTTCGATTTGAATGAATTGGATGAACAATGTCGTATCATATAATTTATAGATAGTTATTTTTACATATTGATGGAGTATTACGAAGACCATCTATTTAAACACAGGTGTAGTTTGTCGCTTAATCAGCTCAACAACAGGTAATCTGTCGCCTTTCCAAGGTCTGAAACACGCAAACAAATTGTGATTTTATTTTTGAATCTCTATATCTTAAGAAAACTTTCGACAATAAGGAACTAACATTTGATAGTGAATTTATTCATAATGTAGCAAATTGATAAACTTATAAATATACAATTATTTTAACTCTATCAAGGACAATAGGAAGCATTGTGCAAGCAACGAAAAGTTCACTTCCTTCGTAGAACATTTGTTTGTTTGTTTGTCAATCGGCGTTTAATTGCTTTTGTATGTTTTCTATTCTTAACATAGCTTTAACGTAAAATTCTAAAAAGATTCTAAAAGGGTTTTTAAAAATATTGGGAATATCTTGTTATAACGAACTTATATGAAATATCGAAAAAAATACTTACTTATAATACATTCTAGGCGCTTCTTTGATATTTGTGGACTGAAAAACCTGAAAAGATTTCATTGCGAAAACAGATCAAACTTTCCGATCTCGAAGTCCCTTAGGAGTGCAAGAGGAAAAAAAAGCATTTNGAAAAACCTGTAAAAAAAAAAAAAAAAAAAAAACATCACATGAAAAGATGAAGCTTGTGTAAATGTCGTCTATGATCACAAATTATCGGCTCACTTCTGTCACTCCTAGAGGCTGTAACGTTCTACAATATTAGGGGATATGTTGTCTTAACCCCAATATAAAAATAGAGCACTTTAGTTAAATCTAAATAAAAATATGTCCTGAGATTATGGGGTTACTCGATGGTCATTTAAGCATGTTGTCTAAAACTTACCCATCAAGTTCTTATCATTGTACCTACAGAGACATCACATAAAGGAAAAAGTAGATCTGTGAAAGAACATTATTGTTTTTTCCATGTGTTTTCAGTGCGATAACAGATCAAACTTTCCGATCTTAGTCCCTTAGAAGTGCAAGAGGAAAAAGGGCATTAATGCATTGATGTACGAGTGTCTCTCAGCAATCATGCAGTGATTTGCAGCAGGCCAGTAAAAAAAGGGGATTATTTATTTTGACATCATTGAATTTAATGCCGATTTCAATCAATTCAATCTGCTGCTTACTTTGTAAAGCAATTATCTACATTTTACTCAGATTAACATATATCCTCCATTTACTATTATTTTATTTGTAGTTGGGAAACATGATTATTTTTTACCAGAACATCCATCGCTGTATTATACTCCTTTGAGCTAATGTTTTGGTGATTCATGTTAAAAACTAAACATCAATCAATATGGCTGTCATGTAATGTAATGTATACTGTCATACTTACGGGTATTGTATACGATGTCGGCATATTCATTATAAATGCATTCTTTTTGTTGTTGCTCTCAAACTCCTCGTTTTCTCTATTGCGTTTGTCAGCTTTCAGCTGAGGTTCAAAGTTTGTTGTCTTTGTTGCTTGTGGCACTCTCGTTGAACGCGAGATTTTCGTTGATGGAGTCTGAACACGTGACATACCGTCAGCGGATGCTGCTCTCCGTTCAATGGCGTCTTGAACTGCCTTCAATCGTCTTTCCTTTTCAAAATTAGCTGTTAAAACGATTAACAAGATTTGTTTATGCATAACTGCCTAAGAAATAATAATAATAATGACAATATACATAATTTATAAAGCGCCCTATTTAATTTGTAAAATTACTCTAAGGCGCTTTACAACATATGGATGGTAGTGCTAGTTATATGATTGTTAAAAAAATGGCAAACAAATCACCATTTCACATTAAGCAAGAAGATAATCATCACAATGTGCACATAAATGAATAAATGAAGTGTGGTATGCACATGACGTATGTGCAAAGAGCCTAAAATGCAGACGTGAAGTGGTGAGTTTTTATGTCCTTGAATATGGTAAGGTTATTTTACTTTATAATAGCAGATGGTAAGCTATTCCACAACGTGGCCGACAGCCTCCAAAACATTTACGTAACTAAAGCATTACGATGTTTCCTTGAATAACCTCCATTAAAGAAGTTAGAAATAACAAGAACAAGCAATATACTCACTGAACAGATATAAATGTAAAGCTATGTACATAGTTTATCAGGAAAAACTATAAAAATAGACACTTTATATTTTATTCAATTAAATGGCTCTCAAAATACATGCATATTACGACTAAAGCCTAGCACACCAATCATATAACTGCAGTACCTCGCTTTGTTCAAGCTGACTAATATGTAGTTTTAAAAATAAAAGTTATGCATACAAAATTTCCAGGGAAGGTATGAACAGTTATCTGAATAAGAAGACAATCATTTGATTTGAATGTTATCGATACAATGAGAATGTTGTATACTTTAACATACAAATCGCCAGTAGGTTACCGAAGAAATCTGCTGATGTTTTAGGCCGAGAAATGTGTTTCTGAAGGGCGGCGCCATAGTCTTTCCGGCGTCTCAGAGAGCTCTTGTTTTGCTCCGACACAGGGGTTCCACAGCGAAACGGTTCCACCTTGGAACGACTCGAAGAAGGGCGGGAATCCTTGGTCCGATTTTGGGCTTCATTTTCTGAGAACGGGAAACAAAGAGGTATCTGTGGTTATAATTAAATACATAAAGCGTGTGATTCGTAGCTCGAAAGTAAAATTATTTAACTCTTGGAATCGTCTGTGAAACAAATTTCCACCTTCCCCTGCTTTCGTATCAAACTTGAATTTGGTTTTGTCCTAATGTGTAAATAGTTTTGGGAAATAATGGACAATGCGCTCAAGTTCATGAAAACAACCTTTACATTAAATACGTTTAGTTGTACTCGTCCATTAACAAAACTTGTCATGGCTGAGGCGTCGGTTTACAAAGATTAGTTATAGTCTTGTTTTGCTACAAATAATTTAAGATTAATCGAATGAAACTTATTTTTTTAAAGAAAATTAAAAATATAGGTTGGTGATTTCATATAATGATAAGTTTTTGATTTAACGAGTTAGAGAAAAATGTGGAATACACCTACAACATCGATAGATTCAAACCCTGACGATAAACAGGGTTATACTCTCGTTATACAATGAATATTGTTATATGAACGCGAAAGCAGTAACAGACACTTACGAATTATTGATGAAAAACGTAAACTACCGAAATTAGGATTTGTCTTTTTGAGGGGATGACATATTAAGAGTGAAAATATTCTTACAGCTCTTGAGCATAAACGCTTACCCATTGATGTCTTGCTTGGTTTGTCAGGCGTCAGGTCTACATGGGTAAGTGTGTGGGGCACACTGAGTCCAAACAACATCCTAAATAGTTGAATAATACAAAATAAAACAATACGATGTACCTAGGTAAGTGTGTGGGGCAAAATGAGTTCGTACCACATCCTAAACAGTTGTTAAAAAAAGAAAAAAGAAAATAATACGATCTGCCTGGGTAGGTATGTAATACAGCAAGTTATTAAAACAATGTTTAATCGTCATTTCTTTTTTTCCAGCTCGCATATTTCAAACAGAATCTTCCTTTTGTAGTTATATAGAAAACTGTTAGCATGTCCGAGACATTACCCAACCACCAAATATTACTATATCTTAGCTTACTTACTTATCGAAGAACTCGGTCACACAAGGATGAGCGAAACTGTTCACATTCATATAGGAATTGGGATCAGCACCATGCCTCATAATCTAAAAGTAACCGAACGAAAAATATTGGAATGATACCAAGCACTCATGCACCTTGACTATGTAATTAATATATGAATTATTTCATTTGCCTTGAGGTCTCATTGCAAGAAACAAAAATTGCATAAGCAATATATGCATCCCCATGTATCTTACAAAATCATCATCAGTTTATAATGCTTAATATTGCCATTAAGTTAATATACACTTAATAAAATGTATAAGTAAGGATAGAAAATTTATTTGTATACTTAGGTACCATTTAAATTACATTCATGTAAATAAATCATTAACACATAAAAAGGGCACGAAAATTGGATATTTTCATATATATCTTTTTAATGCTTCATATTTTCAACGTATAATTATGCATGGTTTGATAAGAGTATTTGTGTTAGTAGAGTGTTTATCGTAAAACAATTTTAAATTCCTTTTCATTCCATCTGATTTTCTTCAAACTCGCTGAATCTTCTGTTATAAAAATCATACTCAATGGAAACTTGTTTAAGATCCTTCAGTTATAACTTCAAGAACTTACCATGTTTTCTGAACTTATATATTTAACAGCACCTTAGTATCCCGTTAATAAAAACAATAATTGACGACGTGAAATGAGTAAGTAGAACATTAAACTAACGCGTTTTACTCGTTTGACAGAATTCGTTAATACTTCAACCTTCTGTCGGCCTCACAATACTGTATGTATTTATCTATGCTTTATATGTATGATATTACATGTATATCCTTTTAGTATATATGTCATCATTTGTATCCGCCTTGTGATATGAAAATACATAGTGTTAGTACCACGTCTACTAGATAATCACAGACAAAACAACACGTGCACAGTACCAAACGGAGGTTTACAAACGCATGCAAAAACAGTGGAAATACCAAACGAATAAGATAAACAATCTTTACAACTAGAAGCATACAGGATTTTTCTTTTCTCTCTTCCCTACCCTTTCTTTTTTGGCGGTGTATCCCTGGGGACCCGTATCCAGACGCCCTTAGCTGTTGAATGGACGCCAAACCCCCAAACACACATAAACATCTACATAAACTGTGTTGTAGATAACATGATCCATGGGGTTGCATGTGATCGCTTGGTATTCATTACACCCTGATGAATTTCAAATCATTTGTATCCGTATAAACACCAAACACAAATCGTGTGCAGAACAGAAATCTTTGGTGGTGATTTGTCATGTGTAAAGAAGGAAAAAACACTCTCAAAATTAAGTTGGATATCTGTGGAATTTACCTCCTGAAGGTGGTGAAACGCTGATATCTTGATAAAAATTGAAATGGGTTATATGATACGGGTCGTTAAAAAGGAATTGTGATTTTTTTATCACAGTTATATAAGCAACAGAGGATCAAAGAAAAAACAAAGTATGGCGTTTTAAAGTCAACATAGAATAGCAATGAACAATCTAATGTACATTAAAGGGTGTTTGTGTTTGAAGGTAGACATTTTAATTGGTAGTTTGGAACAAAACGGATCCCGCAAAAATAACACAACATATTTTTTTAACTGACGAAAATAGTAACACGAATTTATCGTGTAAACGAAAACAACATAGCACGTTTATTTCGAAACGTCAAATTATTATGTTTTCTGAACTGCAAATTCGAGAGGGAATACATTTCGCTTAACACTGCAAATAGCGAATAGAATATAACGGAAAAGAAAAAATTCACAAATGATACAAATATTTTACAAGGAATCTTCGAACGTTCGTAATGCACAAGCGGATGTGTTTATCCTCTAAGTAAGTGATATTTGAGACGCCGGTTACAAGGATAAATAACATCGACACATTTTCAATACGGATTAGCGTGATATATGGTCTGAAATCTGCAACACTATATTATGATTACGTTTGTAACATATATAGATATACTCTGATAAAAAAGGATTACCATTTCCAAATTATGAAGGAAACAGTAAAATCATCTTAGTTCTCTAACAACAGCTTAAATTTAAGTTTATTAACCACCATTGATATAAATGAGTAATCTAGGGGAAGGTATTTCTCCTTTCAACATTTTACTGTCTTTCATACAGCCGATGATGTATTTCTACAGACTGACATACCTCTGGCTGGTTCAATGATTTCAATAGCATAAGCGAACAACTGTGAGTCGGGTTTAAACGCAGGGCAAGCTCTAGATCTTTTTTAGCCTGCAAAAATGAAAACGCATAGTGTTTTTGGATGCTCGAGTTGTCCTTTCTTAATACACATCGCTAGTGTATGTATAGTCTTTAGATGGTCGATATGTCTTTTTCTAATACTTGTATTTCTCATACGATTATTTTGATTTTGTGTGATGCATGTATAAATACATTTATTTAGCCTTTATAAGAATATATAAAAAATCTTTTTTTTTTTTTTCTTAATCAAGAACAGCAACTGTTTACTTTTATAATACCTATGTGGATAACACTGCATCTTCAGTTATTTGCCAAAATATTCATAAAGAATGGAAATGTTACTTACATGTTTCTCGTAGGTTTTGGTGCTATAGACAAGGGCCCGTATGCAGTACACGTCCTGAAAGGGTCACACAAGACATATTAGTTGGTTTACTCTTGTTGTATTTCAAACAATAGTAATATTGAAAACACAGGTAAATATTTCTTGACTCTGAGGTCCAAACCACACTCCACTGCCTGCTTTATTTGCTCTAGTTGTACTTTAGACAACGGTTATATTGAAAATACAAGTCTGTAGCTTTTGTCTCCGGTGTCCAAATCACACCCATCGACTTACAGAAGCATATGATTATATAGGGAGACAAATCATCCAATGTATGTAACTTGACCCACTCTGCAAACGCTGCTGTACTTCCTGCTTGAGAAAGGGAAAAAACTTGTTTGAAAACCAATGAAACTCCTTATACAGTTTACAATTCCTGAAAGACCAAATATTACATAATGATACCTCAATATTCTAATCTTTTCGAATACTAGATACTAGTTGATGATAATGATACGGACCCGACCTGGTTTGTTTACTCTGCAACTTCAGAAGACTCTTTATAAACATAAATTCATCCCTGATTCAGTTAGTTGCTCAACTACGCCAGTATCCATACGTCTTACTACTATCCTAAGTACCATCGAATCATGTTTAGAATAGTATTGTGACTCTCGAAAGGTTTCAAAGCAGCTGTTGGCCTATCAACGGGAACAACATGTGCCCAATAATGAATGTTCCCTTCCTTGATAGTAATATCCCTGTTTACGTTATTCTGTGTTAGATGTCGACTGCTGCGTGCAAACGTACACACATTGTTTCGAGAGATGCATATTGTTTAACACTATCGTCAGGTTAAATGGTCACCATCACGATCTCGTTTGGAAATTTTCCAATGGTTCCCACTATAAGGACGTGACTAAAACTTGGAAGTTGACCTAGATTTACAAGCTAGGTGTCGTTGATAAAGCAGAAAACGCTTACCCATTTTTCGTTCTTGTTGCTGTGGGTATTTGTTTTCATTTATCATTATTAATAAAACAGAATATCAAGATATGATTTTTACGATCCTCTGATCACATTTTCCTTCGTTTAATTCTCCTTATAATATATATAACCAATCCCCTTTCATGATTTAAAGGATCAATTATTTTGTACAACCGTAGCAACATAAAGAGGTTTGATGACAGAAGTTGATGGTGTATACTCACAGGGTTTATGCTGTCTAGTACGACAGTCTTCTCAGCATCCCGCATAGCCGAAACCATATTCCCTACAGAAGAGAATTAATTCATTTCTTTAAAAGTCTTCATAATAACGTTTTTGAAACATGTATCTTATTTCTAAACAATATACATTCATTGATAGTTGTAAGGTAAGGTGAAAAGCAAATGGAAACACAATTTCACTAAAACGTTACATGCAGTCATTATGCAGCAATATGCTAGCTTGACCGTTTAAAGGGAGATAAGCAAAGGGAGATAAGTATAACAACTATTAGCTAGGACTTATGCAGCACAAATGGGGTTTTTTAAAGTCTACGTTAGTTCTTTTTGTATTAATTTTCTTTGCTTTTTTATTTATTTGTTATATGAACAGATCGAATTTTAATCGATTGGTGATACTAGAGAGGTCCTCTCTACCCTACCTGACTTTGCGTTGGCGAACGCTCGCCGTGCGTAAACTGGTGTCATCAAACAGGAGTTGGTCAGACAGCCGGCTAAACAACCATTCTACAACAAAAACACACAGGAGTTGGTCAGACAGCCGGCTTACCAACCATTCTACAACAAAAACACACAGGAGCTGGTCAGACAGCCGGCTGAACAACCATTCTACAACAAAAACACACCGGAGCTGGTCAGACAGCCGGCTGAACAACCATTCTACAACAAAAACACACCGGAGTTGGTCAGACAGCCGGCTGAACAACCATTCCACAACAAAAACACACCGGAGTTGGTCAGACAGCAGGCTGAACAACCATTCTACAACAAAAACACACCGGAGTTGGTCAGACAACCGGCTACACAACCATTCTACAACAAAAACACACAGGAGTTGGGCAGACAGCCGGCTAAACAACCATTCTACAACAAAAACACACCGGAGTTGGTCAGACAGCCGGCTACACAACCATTCTACAACAAAAACACACAGGAGTTGGTCAGACAGCCGGCTTAACAACCATTCTACAACAAAAACACACAGGAGCTGGTCAGACAGCCGGCTACACAACCATTCTACAACAAAAACACACAGGGGTTGGTCAGACGTTCGGCTAAGCAACCATTCTACAACAAAAACACACCGGAGTGGGTCAGACAGCCGGCTAAACAACCATTCTAAAACAAAAACACACATAGCTGGTCAGACAGCCGGCTAAACAACCATTCTACAACAAAAACAAACAAGAGCTGAACCTTTGGTATATAAGCTATATCTTTAGTGAGCTCGGTGACCTTTGATATCCTTATGTATAACAAACTACAGATTGGATCTATGAATTTAGTGTGTTCGGGTCAACATCTGCAAGGCCTTCTTGCGCTACGTCCTTTCCTCATATACGACAACATGCATACGATACCATGTGCGGTAAGTAACACAGATACAATTTTTTAATTGTTCTCTAAAAATATTTTTGTTTCGGAAAACTAATAAATATGTCGGGTAATGATTGTGAACGATCTCCTGTTCTCTAAACCAGTCCAGTCTGCATCATCCAAGTCAATGAACTTGTAAACAACACATCACGTGGGGTAAAAACAAATAGAAAACAAAAATACACGGTGGATGATTACTCGACTCGGACGCAATGTTTTTCCCTTTTTTATGAAAACACAGAACCTATATTTATCTAAAACTGAATATACCATCGTTGTATTCAACATAAGAAGATGTCAAAAAATCAAATCAAAATTGTATGACATAATGTCCTTGAAATGAATGGAGAGGACTGCGATATACTCTGGGAGGAAATGGGCTAGGCTGTTACCTATTATCACCTGTTGGTGAGGTTTGCTTACCTTTGGTATTGAGACTATATCTATGGCGTTGGTGAGCTCGGTAATCGCTTGTTTATGTTTACCGATGTGTTGGTAGGCCACGGCCAGGTGGAAGTACATTTCGTACATCTGAAAATATACAATGTGGGACAAAGATCAACGTAACACACACAGGTGACACCACCTTAAAGGTTGATGATAGATAGAGTGTGCGAACAAAACCTCAATCAAAACCTGACATGTAGAAATGAGTTGGATTGCAGACGATATATGCACTTTCATGACTTGTGTATTACCTGATCATGACTTTGACGATGTTTTTTTTATAAATATATATCTCGTGTACTCGAGTAAATCCCTGAAAGACAAAGTAAAGCACGAATCTAGCCATTCATTTTTGTTTAAAATTTAAGTCATAAATAAGAGATTGCAATATATACATGTTCATGTCATTGAGAAGATTATATCCAGTTTGATATGTCAGGTATTATTACGCCACTTAAACTGTTGTGAAAGAAATATGTTCTTGCAGTACCTCAGCGCACTCGTATAAAAAACATAAGTTCGTTAAATATAACTTTTATTCGTAGAGCAAAAAGCAATACCCTCCATTTAGTCATCAATAAACAATACTCTCTATTTAGTCATCAATAAACAATACTCTCTATTTAGTCATCAATAAACAAAGAGTATCCCCTATCTATCGTCACTGACACGACATTGACGGAACATTATTTCCAAAATAGTCATTGGAGCGATCGAATTAAAAACAAACGTGACGTTTCAAGCGTCACATTGACAAGAACAGGTAGTCTATGGCATCTCAAAACTAACCGCGTGATAAATGTTAACAATCATAGTGATATATATATTTATTATATGCATCACGTCAAAATTCATCAAGGAATCTCGCTATAAATAAACAGTCTGAAGAATCTCCTAGAAGAGATGAAAGTACTAAAGACTAGCTGTTGAGAATTTTTCTTTTCATAATATTTCTAAGTTCGTAAGGATCATTTTTCTGCTTTTATAATATATATATTATATATATTTGTTAGCAGACAAAGTATATGTAAACAGACACTAAAGATTTGGTGATAATTCAACGACATAGAATCGGATAATCCTGGTATTGTTAAAAAAAAATAGAAGAATAAGCAATATATATCTGAAATGAAATTGTAGCCTGTTGCACATGATCTGATACGTACAAACATTTGAAAGTTGGTCGGGGGTTCATAGTCCTCTGGGAAGTGTTTACGGTCAATCATCCAAAATAGATGTCGATATCCACCTATCACCTTTAAAAAAAAATAGAAAACAATTATCAGTTTAATAGTTACCTTCAATCTGGTTTAATATCCCATACCTTTGATAAACCATGATACCATGAAGTACTATTAACTTTTTACTGATCTTTTACAACAAATTCGACCAGTGTTAAATCTATTTCACCGCCTCCATCTACCTCATCGTCTTCTTTCCTTGCCATTCATTTTATATTCTCTCTTAAGTTATGATGGTATTTATAAGATATTCTTTTTTATGTTAAATAAGAGTGTTTGAATTAACCGCACAAGTTTTTCCTGTGCTTCTCTGAACCCATTTCATAGTCTCTCTCTTTCCGGTCGTCGTCCTTCCCTCCCCCTCTATCCCCTTCCCTCACCTCTTTCTTGTTTTTAATTTCCCCCAACCTATGTTTCCATTAATGTTCCTCTCCTTTAAAAAGTTCTCAATTACCCCACTTCTCCCTCTTAATTCTCTTCTCTCCCCCTCTCTCCCCTTCTCTCCCCTTCTATCCCCTTCTCTCATCTTCTATCCCCTTCTCTCCCCTTCTCTCCCCCTCTCTTCCCTTCTCTCCCCCCTCTCCCCTTCTCTCCCCTCACCCCTTCTCTCCCCTTTTCTCTCCCCTTCTTTCCCCCTCTCTCCTCTTCTATCCCCTTTTCTCCCCTTCTCTGACCCTCTCTCCCCTTCTCTCCCCCTCTCTCCCCTTCTCTCCCCTTCTCATTAATTGTATTGCTTTCTCGTTAAACAGAGATTCTACAACGAGTGACTTATCCTTATCGTGTTTTTATAACTCGAATAAATTAATTTCCAAACTTAAAAGAGAAAATTGCTTTGGTGAGAGGTTTTTTCTGACATTTGAAAACTAACTAACGAGAGTTTTCTTTTTACAACATATGTATAACAGAGTACTGTGATGAACGTCGCTTTGTAACGAATCAGACGGGATAGGAATTTTTTTGGAGGTGACAGTTTGGCTAATTGATATGTGCTATGATATCACTACTAGGTCAAAATTCTATAACCAAATATTTTTCTATAATGTGTCCAATATTGTATTGGATTTTAATTAGTTCTAAGTAACGATACTGGTACCACATCACGGACCAACGTCGGTAATGAAAGTTCAAACCACCATGTTCCATAACTTAAGATTTTTAACCAACCAAATTGACGGAAGCTTTAAATCAACAAACAAATCTGTCGTTAATGGGTGGCATGGGAGTTAAGAAACAGCGGCAATTGAGACAAAAAAAAATGCGTTCACACTTTAATCAAATGCTGGCCTTGATATCTAAATACGACTAGATAATTGTTTTGTAGAATAGAGGACTCAATTCATAAACATCCTTGACGATATTTATGAAATGTTGTGACTTAATTGAAAATCAAAATTGAAGGATAAAATATAATTAACTGTGATAGACACACCGCCGCGATTCTAAAGAGACTTTAATGAGTCTTTTACTGTGGAAACTCAGAGATGAGAGAAACTTATACATTAGTGCTACAATAGCCTCTAAACGCTTGTTTTGAGTGGCCCTCTCCCTACCCATACACTGTACATATAAGGGGTGAGTGGCCCTCTCCCTACCCATACACTGTACATATAAGGGGTGAGTGGCCCTCTCCCTACACATACACTGTACATATAAGGGGTGAGTGGCCCTCTCCCTACACATACACTGTACATATAAGGGGTGAGTGGCCCTCTCCCTACACATACAC